AAAATATTTATATTGCATATTAAGAACAATAATGTTTGCATTGTATGAACACGTCATTGCTAAATGCGTGGCTCGTTCCAAGATGGCCTTGAGCAAGACACTACAGTGACTTTATTTAAATGCAGTTGTCTGCTTTTATATTGTGTCTAAATTAAAATTTGCAACATAGAAATGCTGTGCATGCTGCTGAGAAAAATCTCGATGACTGAATGCCTATGCAAGCTGCTGCTACTGCACAAGAGACTGAACTGCTGAGAGCTTCATTAATTAGGCATACGAGTAGCTAGGCGAATGCCTATTTTACTCTAACATGGTGTCTACACCAGACACGGGCGGCACAATATGACCAAATCAATAGTCCCGTAACGATAGGTAAAGCGGTCTGTAATGTATGCAGTGCGATACGGCCAACGCAACAAAACTTCTGCTACTGCTGCTATTGATAATATTCACTAACAGTTCAATACGGAGTTGAAGTACGTGCTGTTGCTGTTAATGATATTCACAATGTTGTAGTAGGAATTTATTGTGCGAGCTGTTGCGGTTGTAATATTTAATCAGAATTTGCGAAGCGAAATCTACTGCTGCTGCACAAAACTTGCTGTAAGCCCTGTTGAATAGGCAAAGTAATAAATACCTATTGCACTTTAAAGAGTTACTTTACCCTCCATGAGTTATCACTAAAATTTTATGCAACTAAAGCGCTTTCTGCTGCCACTGCTATATTAGACATAATAATGACTTGCTATACATGCTGCTGCTAATATTATTTCTAACCTTGCATCTGAATTTGCTATGCATGCTATACAATTTGCTGACATTGCGATCTGAATATCTATGCATACTGCTGCACAAAAGTACTTAGAATTGCACTCTGTGCTCCTCAACCTCCAAGATGGGCAGAAGCATCATGATCCTCATCCTCAAACACTAGTTTATTTCTATATCGCCCCTCTCCTCCAGTTCAAAATTCCCGATCATGAAGAGAATATCAGCAGTGCTCTGGGAGACATGGATTCTCAGGGCTGAGAAGGAAATCAGTAAAAATAAAGTATTTCAAGCATGTCAATCAATTTTTTTAAACATTAAATATCATATATGATAAAATATGATAAATATTATATTATAAATGTTGATTGATTAAATATAGGTTCTATAACTTATAGTTGCTAAAAATTAGAAAAGTCCTTACGAAGACTGTTGCTCTCCATCCTAGAAGCCGTGTTCACTGTATCGCCAAATAAACAGTACCGGGGCATTGTACTACCCACAACTCCAGCAACCACTGGGCCTGTATATGCAAAGGACATAAAACGCTCCGGTTACTAATGTAACCTCGGTTCCCTGAGATAAGGGATTGAGCGTTGCATGAAAACGCATATGGGGAAAACTCCTGTTTTACTCTGTACTGAAGCCTGATTTGTTCACGTTTGTGTAGCTGCATAAACCAATGGCGCCGAACGCCAGATTGTCCTCCAACAGGGCGCCCCAACCCGAGTTGGAGGCGTCTGTTGTAACCTCCTTCCTTTTGGAGGTCAGTCCCAACCTTACGCCTGTTTGTAACAGGCGAGTCTGTTTCTGACAGACTCACTGTTCGCTGGGGGCACTATTTCCACAACACCTTTTGCAAGCAGTGTCTGTACTTCTTGTGAGAGAATGAGAGCTTCGTTGTCCGGAAAAAAGTTAGAATTTATTTAGGGCTGGGACCCTGACGCTTCGGGAAGGGGAAGCGTTTTGCCATCCGGGGGCGCTGCTGCAGCCCATGCTAGGATTTTCACTGAGGCTGCGACGGCTTTGCAGGCTGAGTGGCAGGGCTTTTTCTGGTGACCCGCAGCCGCGGGGGCAGAACGTTTTGGGAGGAAGTGACGCAGCGCCTGCGACTTCTTCTGTGGCTCCAAAAATCACTCCGCAAACCTGTCCACAGCAGGGTCGAAGAGGCCCTTCCGTGAGACCGGTGAGTCCAGAAAAGCCATCTTCTCCGCGTCCCTGATCTCAATGAGGTTCAGCCAGAGGTGGCACTCCAGCACCACCAAGCTGGCCATGGTCTTGCCGATTGCCTGCGCCGTTGCTTTTTTCTCGCGCAGAGCCAGATCTGTTGCTGTGCGCAGCTCCTTGAAAGCCTCCTGGTGTTGTTGGCCAGACTCGTCCATACTACAGAGAAGTTTAGCTTGAAACACCTGGAGTACCGCCATTGTATGCAGCGCCAATCCGGCCTGACCGGCCGCTGCATAAGCCCTGTTGGCCAGCACCGAGGTGGTCCTGCAGGGCTTAGAGGGGCGCGCTGCATGGGCCTTCAAACCCAGGGCAAATGGCAGGCACAGATGAGCAGCAACCGCCTCCTCCAGAGGGGGGAGCATGCTGTACCCCTTGACGTCAGCGCCGTCAGTGGTGGTGAGAGCTGCTGCTGCTGTAGAGGGATTAGCCCGGGCCGAGTAGGTGGCGTGCCACGACATGGTGAGTTCCTCATGAACTGCAGGCAAGAACGGGGCGGGGCATTAGCGAGAGGACTGCTGACGGATTCCTGGCTGGTACCACTCATCCAATAGGCCGTGGGCGGGCTCTTCCGGAGCCGACCACTCAAGGCCCAGATCCTCTACCGCTTTCGACAGGACACAGATGAGCTCGGCGTCCGGTCTTGGCCTCACAGGTTGAGAAGGGGGAAGGGCTTCGGGCTCCTCGCCAGAACTTCCCCACTCTTCTGTCAGGACATGGAGTCGTCTGTGGTGATGTCCTCAATGATGACGTCCTCCTCAGATGCGCCGAATGAGACCAAGCTGCTCTGAAATCCAAATGCTCCACCAGCATCCCAAAGACACCCAAAATTACAGGATTAAATGACTACAGACCTGTGGCTTTAACATCTGTGGTCATGAAGTCATATCTGGACCCCTAGCAATTTGCTTACCGAGCAAACAGGTCTGTGGATGATGCAGTCAACATGGGACTGCATTATATCCTACAACATCTGGACAAACCTGTGGCTTATGTGAGGATCCTGATTGTGGACTTCAGCTCGGGCTTCAACACTATCATCCCAAACCACCTCCTGTCCAAATTTACTCAGCTCTCTGTGCCCACCTCTATCTGTCAGTGGATCACCAGCTTCCTGACAGACAGACAGCAGCTAGTAAAGCTGGTAAAATTCTAATCCAGCACCCATAAGATCAGTAGTGGCACCCCCCAGGGATGTATTCTCTCCCCACTGCTCTTCTCCCTATAAACCAACAACTGCACCTCTAAAGAACCCTCTGTCAAGCTCCTGAAGTTCACAGATGACTGGCAAAATCATTCTGACTGGCTGGCAAAATCATTCTGGACCCCTCACACCCAGCCCACTTCCTCTTTGATCTGTTGCCACCTGGTCAGCGCTACAGAGCACCAGAATGGCCAGGCACAAGAACAGTTTCTTCCCTCAGGCAATCGATCTCATGATCAGTTAACTTGGCAATAAATGTGTAATAACACGAGGAGAAAACCCCCTGCTCATTTATACATTTATTTATTTAACATTTCCTTGCATTTGTACGTTTGTTGCATTTTCCTTGCATCCTGTACACACAAATACCATGTATATTGTGTATTTTTTCTTTAAATATTTTAAAATATTGTTATTTCCTATTTTCTTATCCTATTTTTATTCTTTTTATTATCTGTGTCTTGTCTTGTCACTGTCATTCTGTTTGTGCTGTGGAAGATTCAGTCACCAAAACAAATACCTTGTATGCCTAATGGTTAGAAAGTCAGACTTGTAACCCGAAAGTCGTGGGTTTGAGTCTCTGCACCAGCAGGAATTGTTGGTGGGGGGAGTGAATGTACAGTGCTCTTTTCCAGCCTCAATACCACGACTGAGGTATATTTATGTCTTAACATTTCTTTTTTATATATTGTTCTCAATCCTAAAACATACAGGTTATTTCCAGGTTTGTATCGAAAAAACAGATCTTAGTTAGTGTGATCTTAGACTTTTGGAGCCCACTGTATAAAAAGTGGCATTATACAATTATTTCATAATTATTTCACATTATACCTTTATTTCTATATCGCCCCTCTCCTCCAGTTCAAAATTCCCGATCATGAAGAGAATATCAGCAGTGCTCTGGGAGACATGGATTCTCAGGGCTGAGAAGGAAATCAGTAAAAATAAAGTATTTCAAGCATGTCAATCAATTTTTTAAAACATTAAATATCATATATGATAAAATATGATAAATATTATATTATAAATGTTGATTAATTAAATATAGGTTCAATAACTTATAGTTGCTAAAAATTAGAAAAGTCCTTACGAAGACTGTTGCTCTCCATCCTAGAAGCCGTGTTCACTGTATCGCCAAATAAACAGTACCGGGGCATTGTACTACCCACAACTCCAGCAACCACTGGGCCTGTATATGCAAAGGACATAAAACGCTCCGGTTACTAATGTAACCTCGGTTCCCTGAGATAAGGGATTGAGCGTTGCATGAAAACGCATATGGGGAAAACTCCTGTTTTACTCTGTACTGAAGCCTGATTTGTTCACGTTTGTGTAGCTGCATAAACCAATGGCGCCGAACGCCAGATTGTCCTCCAACAGGGCGCCCCAACCCGAGTTGGAGGCGTCTGTTGTAACCTCCTTCCTTTTGGAGGTCAGTCCCAACCTTACGCCTGTTTGTAACAGGCGAGTCTGTTTCTGACAGACTCACTGTTCGCTGGGGGCACTATTTCCACAACACCTTTTGCAAGCAGTGTCTGTACTTCTTGTGAGAGAATGAGAGCTTCGTTGTCCGGAAAAAAGTTAGAATTTATTTAGGGCTGGGACCCTGACGCTTCGGGAAGGGGAAGCGTTTTGCCATCCGGGGGCGCTGCTGCAGCCCATGCTAGGATTTTCACTGAGGCTGCGACGGCTTTGCAGGCTGAGTGGCAGGGCTTTTTCTGGTGACCCGCAGCCGCGGGGGCAGAACGTTTGGGGAGGAAGTGACGCAGCGCCTGCGACTTCTTCTGTGGCTCCAAAAATCACTCCGCAAACCTGTCCACAGCAGGGTCGAAGAGGCCCTTCCGTGAGACCGGTGAGTCCAGAAAAGCCATCTTCTCCGCGTCCCTGATCTCAATGAGGTTCAGCCAGAGGTGGCACTCCAGCACCACCAAGCTGGCCATGGTCTTGCCGATTGCCTGCGCCGTTGCTTTTTTCTCGCGCAGAGCCAGATCTGTTGCTGTGCGCAGCTCCTTGAAAGCCTCCTGGTGTTGTTGGCCAGACTCGTCCATACTACAGAGAAGTTTAGCTTGAAACACCTGGAGTACCGCCATTGTATGCAGCGCCAATCCGGCCTGACCGGCCGCTGCATAAGCCCTGTTGGCCAGCACCGAGGTGGTCCTGCAGGGCTTAGAGGGGCGCGCTGCATGGGCCTTCAAACCCAGGGCAAATGGCAGGCACAGATGAGCAGCAACCGCCTCCTCCAGAGGGGGGAGCATGCTGTACCCCTTGACGTCAGCGCCGTCAGTGGTGGTGAGAGCTGCTGCTGCTGTAGAGGGATTAGCCCGGGCCGAGTAGGTGGCGTGCCACGACATGGTGAGTTCCTCATGAACTGCAGGCAAGAACGGGGCGGGGCATTAGCGAGAGGACTGCTGACGGATTCCTGGCTGGTACCACTCATCCAATAGGCCGTGGGCGGGCTCTTCCGGAGCCGACCACTCAAGGCCCAGATCCTCTACCGCTTTCGACAGGACACAGATGAGCTCGGCGTCCGGTCTTGGCCTCACAGGTTGAGAAGGGGGAAGGGCTTCGGGCTCCTCGCCAGAACTTCCCCACTCTTCTGTCAGGACATGGAGTCGTCTGTGGTGATGTCCTCAATGATGACGTCCTCCTCAGATGCGCCGAATGAGACCAAGCTGCTCTGAAATCCAAATGCTCCACCAGCATCCCAAAGACACCCAAAATTACAGGATTAAATGACTACAGACCTGTGGCTTTAACATCTGTGGTCATGAAGTCATATCTGGACCCCTAGCAATTTGCTTACCGAGCAAACAGGTCTGTGGATGATGCAGTCAACATGGGACTGCATTATATCCTACAACATCTGGACAAACCTGTGGCTTATGTGAGGATCCTGATTGTGGACTTCAGCTCGGGCTTCAACACTATCATCCCAAACCACCTCCTGTCCAAATTTACTCAGCTCTCTGTGCCCACCTCTATCTGTCAGTGGATCACCAGCTTCCTGACAGACAGACAGCAGCTAGTAAAGCTGGTAAAATTCTAATCCAGCACCCATAAGATCAGTAGTGGCACCCCCCAGGGATGTATTCTCTCCCCACTGCTCTTCTCCCTATAAACCAACAACTGCACCTCTAAAGAACCCTCTGTCAAGCTCCTGAAGTTCACAGATGACTGGCAAAATCATTCTGACTGGCTGGCAAAATCATTCTGGACCCCTCACACCCAGCCCACTTCCTCTTTGAACTGTTGCCATCTGGTCAGCGCTACAGAGCACCAGAATGGCCAGGCACAAGAACAGTTTCTTCCCTCAGGCAATCGATCTCATGATCAGTTAACTTGGCAATAAATGTGTAATACACGAGGAGAAAACCCCCTGCCCATTTATTCATTTATTTATTTAACATTTCCTTGCATTTGTACGTTTGTTGCATTTTCCTTGCATCCTGTACACACAAATACCATGTATATTGTGTATTTTTTCTTTAAATATTTTAAAATATTGTTATTTCCTATTTACTTATCCTATTTTTATTCTTTTTATTATCTGTGTCTTGTCTTGTCACTGTCATTCTGTTTGTGCTGTGGAAGATTCAGTCACCAAAACAAATACCTTGTATGCCTAATGGTTAGAAAGTCAGACTTGTAACCCGAAAGTCGTGGGTTCGAGTCTCTGCACCAGCAGGAATTGTTGGTGGGGGGAGTGAATGTACAGTGCTCTTTTCCAGCCTCAATACCACGACTGAGGTGAGACCCTTGAGTAAGACACTGAACCCCCAACTGCTCCCCATGCGCCGCAGCAAAAATGGTTGTCCACTGCTCTGGGTGTGTGTGTTCATTACTGGGGGGGGGGATTTAATACTTTTTACATGTAAAAGTCATACAAGTTTTGTGCAAAAGTTTTCAAACAAAAGTTTCTCCCGTGGAATGCAAATGTTTTGTGAAAACATTTTTCCTCCCATCTCAGTCTAATTATTGTTTTTTTTTAAATGTGTTAAGCACCTTTTCATCCACACATTATAAATGGCTCTATGGTGTAATAAATTCATTTTTAAAAGCATTAATAACTGATAGGGTTTCCCAATTAATAATGACTCCTAAAAATACATGTATAATACAATTTGAGAAAGTTTTTAAAACATAAAAAATATTTCATGTCAACTACCCATATAGACTATACAACCAGGGCCGTCCTTAGCTGACACGTGGCCTGGTGCGAGGTAGGGAGCGGTGCCCCCCACGGTCCATTTGCGATCGCGTTCCGGGAGGGGGAGGTCCCCCTCGGTCCGTTCACCACGGGGCCCCCTCAAGCACGGGGCCCGGTGCGACCGTAATCAAGTGAAAAGATGTCATTTCAAATACACAAAAAGACTGTATGCATGTACATACTGTAGAAATAATTTAGCAATGTCCATTTACCATTGTTTAACCATTCACAGAGCTCATTATCAAAACCACAGGCCGGATTATCTACTGGAGGTTTTCCATTTTGCCATGCAATGTTAGAAAACCTTGATGTGGGTCTGCAGAACAGATATGTTTCATATAGTCAGAGTTTCAGCGTTAAATCTCAGTAATGTTAACATATGCAAAATTTTGGTCTTACTTCATCCTTTTCGAATGGCTGTCAAAATCCAAAACAGAGACAAATTTTGTGACCATTTCTGTTTGTTGTAGGTCATATACTGAATAGTCAAGGTTCCTCTCTCCATATTCATCAAAGTGAACCAGACCTGAAGCCCCTGTTGAAAAAACAAAAACAAAGGTTATTTTGGTTGTTTACAATCAATAGGAAACGTACAAACATGTGCATGCGAGACAAAATTACCATAAAACCTAATGTTGGTCCTGTCCCTGAGCTTCTGGAGAATCTCTCGTCCATGCCGGATGTCTTTACCATTTTTAAAGGCTTCTTTTAGGCCCATGGCATAAAGTAGAACAGCATCATGTAAATAGGCAGCGTATGAGCTTACCTAAAACATCAAATAGATCATATTAAATTAATTGAAAGCTGATCAAAATAAGGGTTACAAAAAATATGATTTTCTTTTAATAAAATATTCACACCTCTTTTTCTGAGGACAGGTTGCTGTAAAAAGGTGCCCCTTTTAATCTCTCATAAGCCTGCTCGAAGAAGTCATAGTAGTCATATCCTTCATAGGACTTCTGAGCGAGTACAAACACCATGTCAAAAGCCTTCAGCATTGTTGTTTTATTTGCATCACCCATAGACTTCCACAGGGTGTCCTAATGAGGGAAAACGTGAGAGTAGGTATCTGTTTAGGTAAATAGGAATTGTCACAATAGTAGTCTGATTCAGTTTTCAAATGCCTAGACATATCCACAAATGTCCACTGACTCAATACATGTCTGAATTACATACTTTGTTTTATTAATTAGTCACATCGGCTGCATCCGACAGCTTAGGCAGCTGATTTGTTGCCTCGCTGCCCTATCAGGTAATGACTTTGCAGGCAGTGTTTGCCTCATAAAGGTACAATACTTCCCAAAACTGATTTCGGTTAGGCAGCATAATCGTTTCATGATCTTTAATCTAAATAGAGAGAGCTAAATCTGAATAAAGAGAGATCACTGAGCGAATATTTAATTACTACGATTTTTTTTAGCTCAACTGTCACGGAATTGAAGTACCAGGATTGTGGGATATCATAGTCACATCTGTGCTGACCTTTTTTCTTTACACTCAAGCTGTAAGAAAAGTTACACTAAAATTTTACAAAGGAAAGAGTACACCAGAAAGGCCTGGTTTACAAAACATCTTGAACGAGATACATAAAATACAACAATGCGTTGCAATTATATTTAGCATTTATAAGCTTTTTTAAAAACCTTTAGAAAATGTTTTTGAATTTAAGCATTAACGTACACTTTTCAGTGAAAAATTAAGAGAGTCACCTGCGTTTTCTGTGTACCATTTACTCACCACTTTGCCACTGACCTCAAACTGCTGAACCAGAAGGAAAACATACTCTCCAGTCATTAGGCCTTGTTTCTGAGCTTCTATCATCAGAGACGTGGTGTCTTCAGCATTAGCGAGCACAACCACCACTAGAATGAAAAGAATAACACTAACATCTTATAATCTCATAGAAACATTTTTTATACTTAAGACTTAAACGCTATTCATATAGTATACAGAAACTGTACATTGTTATCACATTAGAGATTTCAGATTCTATTTGCAGTCAAAGGACTGCCAAACATATCCTGCACTTTAGGTAATGGTGCTTGAGAACAAAGCACATTTATCAGGGACTTTGATATTATAACTGTTAAAGTGCAGATTAAGTTCACTTATCTTATGCCAACTAACTGCTTCAAGAGGAACAGGCCATGAGGGCATAAGGGCAAGATGCATTTGTGATCTTACACGTTTTACACATTGAGGTGTAAACTCCACCCAAAGAATGTAAGAGCTGAAAGATAAGTACTGTATTACTATTGACTCACCTCTTGCAACTTTAGAGACGATCTGCAAGTTTCTCTTTGCCAATTCTGGGTCACTGGTATCAAATTTGATTCCAGCTGTCACAGTTACTTTGTCCCTGAGCTGCTGTTCCACAGACTTCCATAGAGCATCAACACTGTTCCATGTGTTTGTATCCGCACCTCCTCCGATCATACCAACATACTTCCATCCAAAGAATTCCAGTGTTTTAAGCAGGATTTCTCCAACCCTTTTAATTGGAGGTACAATTTTTATATAAGTGTCATACACCAGAATGTTATCCATTTTTGGTGTCTGGCCAACAAAACCAAACATGGGAATGTTCCATGTGGATGCTAAGAGCCCAGTGACCTGAAGGACATAAGCAAAAACGTCATATTTAAATATAAAAAATGTGTATATATTTATATTTTATTTATTTATTTATATGTTTAGTTCACATATTAAAACAGTGTACATATTTGATAATTTCAAGGGATGGGCTATTTTTAAAAGATTTTTGGTTGTTTTAAGAAATTATTAAACGTCTTTTTAAATTCATGAAAACAAGAGAATGCAAAATTAGTGTGAGTGAATGCAAAATTTCTAAGAGAAATGCAAAACCTTTGAAATATACATTGTGTACATTATATGCATTGTGTCACCTTATGGGCTCCATAGCTTTGCAATATTACTGATACATGTAACTCTATAATTAAAGGGATATTTCACCCCTAAATTAATGTCATTATTTACTCACTCTCCACTTGTTCCGAACGTGTGAGTTTTTTTCCCCTCCAAACTATGTAAGTCAATAGCTACCATCAGCTGTTTGGTTACCAACATCCTTCAAAATATCTTCTTTTGTGTTGAACAGCTGAAAGAAATTTATACTGGTTTGAAACAACTTAGAGGTGAGTAAATTATGACAAAAATATCATTTTGGGTGAATTATCCCTTTAAGTGACATAATGACTTTACTTTCATGATTTATCGACGTATGCTATCCGCGAACTTGCGATGGAAAGTTTGTGTTATTGTTATGGTTAAGTTACCTTCTCAGGTGAAAGCTGCTTCTGTTTAGGGGTTGTATTTAGCGACAGGTGAAAATACTCTCTCACACACATAAAGTATAGCCTATGCAAAAATCATCAACGTTTGAAAAGACTGTTGAAACATTGTTATAAAAAAGAATATGTAATTGGTGTGGTGCGGGGTCTCAGTAGTCTTAATTAGCCATATCCGCCGTAATTCTTACTCAGATTCGTATTAATAATTCTAATAATAATAATAATAATAATTTACCTGTATCAAATGTCAAGATAAGACACTTACTTCAGCCTCCTCAGGACAAGGTGGACCAAATAGAGCTGATGCATTTTGGTTCATTACTTGATTGATGAATCCCTGAAGTGAAAGTTTTGCGTTACAGTCTGTGTCCATGTACACAAAGTCAAAGGTGAAATTTCCACTCAGAGATGGATTTGCATTAATCTTGTCTATGGCTATCTGCATTGCAGACCCTAACCTAAGCAAACTGAAAGGGTAGGAAACGTTCCGAGGAGCTTGGAGGCCAACCGTAAGCTTATACTGGGTTGCTTTGTTGCAAATAACAGAGTTTGTAAGAGCTGATAAAGAAACAAAAATCAGCACCCACCATCGTGTGGGTCCTCTTATGTCTAAGTCTAATCCTCCTGACATCCTACCTGCATAAAACTCAGTCACATTGATCGGCTTTCAGACATACAGGGGGATTTAAATGGACTCTTACCTTCCCTGGGGAAATTAATTCTAATCAAGGGCTTTCTCTGGAGAAAGAGCACTTAGCACATATAGTGCACATTTTGCACGTTCTCACTACCATTTAAATTTTTTATTTTTTTACCACGAAATGTTAATATCACTACCATGACCATAAATTCAGGTTTACAAATCACGCTGGGATAGCATGGATCGATAGGTTTTAAACAAATTTGCTGAAGTTCATGCCAGCTCAAATTTTGCTGCATTGACAGCAACCAAATGTATGTAGATCTGCATATTTTCCTTTTGAGTATGTATCACTTCAACTTTGACCTAAATTGATCAACTCTGACTTCAATCGACAAGACTCAAATCCATAGAGGCCTTGACGGCTTTCGTTCTTTTAATTTCATTGTCTATTATCAGAACAGATTACAAAATCCAAAGGTACTCACATCTTATCTGTCATTACAGTCAAATGTCAAAGTTCAACTTAGACGTCCTTCCTAAAATGCTGTGATAATGATGCTGAGGCAAATGAGGTTAGAAAACAATGTGTGTTCGTAAGATCATGTTGTGTCATGTTTAACTGAGGTTGCTAATAGGAGGTGTCACATGACTAGCCTAGGGCTGCTCTCTTGCTAACAAGGGTTTTAGGGTCCCAGCGGCCTACCCTGATTGTCACTTTAAGCTGAAAAGCAGTAAATGATGGGTTGAATTAGCAAAGTGTTACTGCAAACCAACAGAGCAATAAAGAATCATGATGAAAACCTGAGTATTTGAGTGGGAGCAACTTTCAACCCAACTTTTACACTGCATGCAATTAAATGTCATGCTGACCAGCAAAGGCAAATGTCATAGTCCACCGTTTGTACTATAGCACTGTGTAGTTTCACATTTGCATGTACTTTTCAGCATGCAGATATTAAAGCACAGACTTGTGAATCTTGTGTAACCCACATTCACTTTACAGGATTTAGCTGTATGGCCATGATTCTGTTTATGTTCAGTCATTTGTATTATCAGGGAACAGATAGCAACAATTGGTTTAAAGGTCACTCATGTGCTTGTTTTATTGGACTTCTTGTGGCTTTAGCAAACCTGTGCAAGGGACAGTCTCACAGGACTTTTTCTTCCAGGTCCATCACCTGACGGACACACCGGACTCCTGAACGTTATCCAGGTACTTGCTTCTGAAAATCTTTATTTGTTTCATTTCACATCCATATATGATGGTTTAATTATGATTTTGGTGTGCTGATATAAATGTGCATTTATTGTTATGCATGTTTAAATCAAAAACAGCATGATGCAGATAATTTTGTAAATTAAAAACAGGACTAGTAGGGATGTTTTGCATACAAAACTTCATGTATGGTCTTGTGTACATAGAGAATGTTGCATTCATAACTCTTTTCTTAAATAGCTTGGTTTCTCAGAGAATGTTTATTAGAATTATCTTATCATTGTGACTTGAGTTGTTCTGGTGTTTTGAACAATGAGATGTTCTGATCAATAAATCAAATGATGCATAATATATTAACATTGGCCCAGAGACTGTGGGCTATGCTCACATATATATACATAAAATGTATTATATATAAAAGAACATTTCTTTCTATGTTTTAGAAAAGGCAGTGGATGCTCTTGAGGCTGAAAAGGGTTATATAACCTTTGCTAGACTTTGGCCTCCATAAATGCATGGCTGGCTAGATAATGTACCAAATCCAATAGCATTATAATAGCCAGGTGTGCAATACTGGAGATCATGTTGAATCCTGAAGGAACTGCAACAGGTGTTGAAGGATAACACTGGTAACACTGGACAATGTTAAAAAAAGCGTAATTGTGAGATATATTTTTCTTAATTGGATTGTACTGTGCTCTTCAACCTTTGAACAAACTTATGCACTCTAACCTTCACCCCTCAAGGTCATACTGATATTTGTCTTTATCAATACCTTCTAATCAATGTAGCATCAAAACAGCACTTGTGTGATTACAGGGACCTTGCACTTCCTGTAAATTCAAAAGTAAATTCAAATCCTATGTTATGAATGAAACTAACCCTCCATGTTATTCTAGATTTCTTTTCAATACTGTTTAATTTTTTTCAGCAGCTTTAGTAGATCCTGTGCATTATGGAATTCTTGTTTGAGTTCCTGTTTACCCCGCTGTCCACTTCAGGACTGGTGTTTCTGTTCAGCCTCGCAGCTGTAGCTCTGGTCCATCTCAACACCAGGCCAAAACCACTGCAGCCACCCACAGACCTCAACCGACAGACCGTGGGCGTAGCGGTGAGTGTGATCTTTTGTCAGCTCTACGCAATGCAATTTAGTATATTAAAAATGTATCATTTGTTTTCTTAAAACATCTTGTGAGTGATTTAGTCGGAATATCTAGTTTGTTGAAAAAATCTGCACATGTAAAAGTACTTAAAGAATTAGCATTGTGTTTTTATTAACAAGTTCAGCATTTGGAATGTGCACTAAAACCCAAGAGAAAAGTTAAAAAAGTATGAATAACTGTTCATGGAAGATACAAAGGTTGCAAAAGTATAGATTTGGTTGAACATAAATAAAATATAAACAATAAATAAAAAAAACATTTGAAGGCTACTTATATGGCTGGTGTCCTCATATGAATATGCATAAAATGTATTTAATCAAAAATACAGTATATACAGTGTTATTGTGCAATATTATTACCATTTAAAAGAACAGTTTTCTATTTCAGTATATTTTAAAAGTAATTTATTCATGTGATGGCAAAACAGAATTTTCAGTAGTTGTTACTGCAGCCTTCAATGTCAAACAGTCCTTCATTCTAAAAATCATTCTTATATGCTGATTTCTAATATGCTGCTCAATATTCTTGTGAAAAGCACACTTTTTAAAAGAACAGCTTATATATATATATATACACAGTATAATAATAGATTTTTTGGGATATTGTAAAAGACTTTACTGTCACTTTTGATCAATTTAATGCATCCTTTCTGAATAAATGTATTACCGTCATTTCTTTCCAACTAAAAAACTTTTGAATGGTAGTGTATGTTCTGTACAATGTGTGTGTGAATCACTTCATGAGGTTCTTGTGCCTGATTTTATGGTTCTGAATGTCTTTTAGCACAGTGGTTTAATATTACTGGCAATTTTTTTATTTACAGGGTGGTGCTAGAAGAACAGCACTCTTGAAAGATGACAACGTGATCTCGTACTTATATGAGGACGCCAAAACTCTATATGAGGCTTTTCAAAGAGGACTACGTGTTTCAGGTGCGAGGTCATGAGGTCAAAATTCACAGCAACACAGAATTATTGACATTCGTTTGAAATCAATTCAAGTCCTATTTTCATGCTAGCTATGTTAATTCACATCTAACCTCAGTTGCATGTGATTAGTCTGTGAGATATTTCATTATTACTGTGCAGGAAATGGACCGTGCTTGGGGTACAGAAAGAAGGGGCAACCTTATCAATGGCTTAAATACAAACAGGTATTTGTACCAACCACATACATCATTTTGAGCTCAAAAGTGAGGAAAAATTAGGTCTTTGTTTCAATGCTTGCCTCTGATTGTCTCAGGCTTCAGACAGAGCTGAATTCTTGGGGTCCGGACTTATCCAACGTGGCCAGAAGCCATCGCAAGAATCATTTATTGGCATCTTGGCCCAAAACCGGCCAGAGGTGACATAATAAGTCTAAATG